AGCCGTAACTTCATTCGCGCCCAGCGTACTTTTGCTCCTTCTACGGCATAGCTGGGCTGTCACTATCTGCACCAAATCCCCCAAATGATTCTAGATGTTTTTTGCTTTTGCACCAGGTTTGTCGGCACCGCTATCTGCAACCTGATGGTTGCTTATGGTCAGTACTCAAAACTAACTCCGAGTAGTTTGAGAGGGCGGTTGACGGCTTCTGTGGAGAGTGCTCACGTTATCGACAATAGTCAGTGAGAATGTGACACAAGCCCTATTTAGTGATCAATTATTGGCCGACGTTCAAGGGGAACTTTCCAAGAGTAACAGTATTATTTTGAAACAAAGGGACACTGTTAATAATATTGACAAACGTAATACTGGTTTGCTATTATGCAAGAACAATGGAACACTCATTGTATGCTGGACTGAACCTTTTGGTGATCGGTTCAGTTCCGCACCGCAAAGACAGAGTAAAACATATACAGAACTTGCGCCTTAAGCACATTTTTTTACCGTGCTTATTGTAGCTACTGAAGTTTTGGTTTTTTCTTGTGGCAGATTTTTGGAACCTGACTGGAAGCAAGCTCAGGAAAAAATGGGCGGTATTGAGAATGCACTGAAGGCTTTGCGAAGCTATCCGCGAGTGTCCATATTTAATCTTCGCGATTTGCCTTACAGTAAACCACCGGTACGTTTCCTTTTTTATATTTTATTATCCTTAAAGAAGTCAAACAGCCTGTATTGTTCAAGCTTTACTTGCACTTTGGCCTCTCAGAGATTATTTGAGGGAATTCCCTGCTTGCACACAACCCTTTTCCAGGATTTTCTTTGTGGCTTGACGGTTTCACTGGTTTCAAATAAAGCCATTACGTCTATTCTAGGATATCTTTACCTACAAGCAGCCGGTTTTAATTGTGTACATCCTAATTGGCACTCAGTTCTCATCCGCAGCTCCATGAAACTGCTATCTGCGCTGCGGCTACGCACCGGTATCCGTTTCGATTTAGCAAACTAGACGATATGAGGCTAGACGGTGTGCTGTTTTTGCATACAACGGGACTCTGTGTGGAACCTGGTCTAAGCAGCGAAGATGAAACAACCGTGTCGTAATATACACAAAGGCTTTATGTTTACTCGAGCATACATTTTCGACTTCAATTTCTCCCTTCCTCTAAAAGCCAATTGAACGTAATTGCCTGTTTCATCCATGCATTTGAGGATACATTTACAGACTTCGGGAAATGTCTTACGCTCTTCAATATGTGCTACATTCTATCCATCCGCAAAAATTTTGTAACAATAAGTGGCCGGTTTTTTTTCGTATGGGCTCTAAAATAACCGAAAATTTACCTCCAAAAGACGGCATGTATCTTGGAGAGACACTATTTCTATTTCGTACCCATGCTTCTCTTTGCACACGGTAACTGCTTGTACGCTCCATTAGTAAAGTCTCCGGTCTTCTTTTTGCTGTAGCCCTACCATGGTCTCAAACGGAAAAAGCGTGGACTGGGTCACAGGGGAGCTAGCCAATACCAGGCATATCCCCCACTAGGCACTCAGGAAGGGCGGACCCCCTTCTACATCACGGTTCCTCGCGAGCCTTACAACCAGGACCATTTGTAAGTGAAGCCTTTATTCAGCTCTGCAAGTCAATCTCCAGTGTTTTCTCCTGATCGCTCTTTCTCTCCTTGCAGTTCGCGCCATGCTCTGCCACGGCTTTCGCTTTTGGATTTGCAACGCATGATCGACCTCTCGCGGATAGATCCCACGCAGCCGATTGACTTGACGTCTTTTTGCAATACTGGTCTCTTTCGACTGGATGTGGAGCACGAACGCCACTACGGTTTCCATCTTACTGAGGAGGTGAGTGCAAATGGTGACGCAAAACTAACTAGGTCGGTCACTTTACAGCCACCACCACCACCACCACCACCACCACCACCACCACCACCACCACCACCACCATCACCACCACCATAATAGAAGAGGACCATACTCGTTACAACGCAAGTTTTAAGGCATATTTGATCTCAAATAGGTAATTGTGAAAACGCAAATAGTTCTCTCTAATAAAACTTTAGAAGTTCCCGAGAATGTTCGGCATTATAAGAAGGGGTCATTCAGTTAATGCCAGCACTTCCTGTTTGGTCTGCTCTAATGTTCCTGTGTAAAATTGGTGTTAGATTGAGTTTGTGTAACACCTAGCCGACGAGGTTTTGCTTGCGGATTTCAGTGAGGATGCGTTCATATGAAATTTACCGTATTTGCCATTGCTTACCTGGCTGTCCGATCTGTTGTGTGGTTAGAAGCCTCGAAAATACTGCTCCCTCAAATACAGCCGCGTGTCATGTTTCTGTTTTCGTGATAAGAAAAAAGTAGCGGGATAGGAATTTTCGAAAGATGCTGGTGAGTTTTCATTGATTAGACGAGGTTTGGTTGAATATTAATAACCAACTGCATTTTTGACAGTCCCGAGAGGGTTACTTTGGTTCATGCCGAGAGTACGTTTCGACTGTCCGAGGACCACTTAAAAGATTTTGCACCAACAGTCTACAGCACTAATGTTTGAGAGCTGCCAACTGTTTGTCGTCATATATCACTAAAACTGTCCAATCTTTGGCAAGCGTTGAAGCGAAACTTCAGACCAATAGTTGCTTTATAGGCAGTAAGTAACCTTATTCAAGATTTTTTTGACTAGATGTTTGGAATCTAGGATGGCATGTATAATAAAGGACTCAACGTCTGCCTTTCTTTCCAAAGGGTCTTGATACATTTGTGACCCCCGTCAACATTGAGGTGCAGTATGCCAGC